TAATAGCTATTCAATACGTACATAACTTATGGATCCATACTTTAATAGCTACTGCATATGTTGACAACTTATGGATCCATACTTTAATAGCTACTGCATATGTTCATAACTCCTGGATCCATACTTTAATAGCTATTCCATATGTTCACAACTTATGGATCCATACTTTAACAGCTATTCCATATGTTCATAACTTATGGATCCATACTTTAATAACTATTCCATACGTTCATAAGTTATGGATGCATACTTTAACAGCTATTCCATACGTTCATAAGTTAAGTATCAATAAGTTATTAAGAAGCCACTTACAACAAGTTCCGAGTAGTTCTTCTCAAGTTTGGACAACAGTCTACAGTACAGTTCTTGTTCATCTCCTCTAAACTGGTTCTTAAGAAAACAAATTGTCATTTATTGAAAACAACCAGTTTTTTTTATTTACATCAACATTCATGAGATACTGAAGAAATCATAATTAAACTTCTAAATTAATAATACAGGTGTAAGATCTACATTAATAATACAGGTGTAAGATCTAAATACAGTATAAAAAGCTTTACTTTTCTAGTTGCACACTGGTCAATATTCCTGTGGAACTGACTGATCGCCTGGTGTTCAGTTTGGTGTTTTTCTAGTAAGGACTTGACGCTTGGAAGATCACCACCATATTCAGCAGAATGAAGAAATTTCTGGAGAAAAGAAAGATCACAAGTTAAATCAAAACCGTGCTGCTAATTTAAACTTCAAATACACAATATACTGTCTAGTTATTATTAAAAGGCACGCTGACAAACCGTGATTGTATACTTAGTTTAATCTTGGGTATTATCTTTTAACCCTTTTAATCTGTTTTTCCTATTTAAACACATTTAAGGTTACTTACCAATTTACCATTCACCCAGTCCAAGCATTCCTGTAAAAACTTAAAGGCTTCGTTGGTCTCAACTAAGTGTTGCTCATACGCAACTTGTCTCCGTTTGGTCACCTGTCTTTCTTCAGTTTTCGCAACACGAGTTGATAATGGGTTTAATAATGTGGTTGTAAAAGTAGTATGGATTGTGATCCACCTCTGATGAAGGTTTTGCACCCTTATAAACACAAAAATAATGCTATACAACTTGGAAAGATACTAGTAACCTTTGTTGAAATTCTGCATTCTGATCAATATAAGTTTATGCTCAATAACAGAGATGCTAATAAAGAGAAACCATCATTTAGAACTGCAAACTGAACAGCCGGGACACAAACTGGACCAGATAAAAGGAGTGATACTGATAGTTGACTTCTAATCATTTCTAACCTTAGGTGTTCCGTAATTATACGAGAACTAACACAATGCTAGAGCCAAGTTTCTTTACAACGAATATACGGTCTTGCAGCCTAAAGAATCAGTTCAAAGGAATTTCTCATACTCTACTTGCAGTGTTCCAAGGTCAACATCACAACTTGAAGGAGGATAAGTCTAAGTGCTGACACATGGTACTTGAAGTGTTTCACTTTTCTAATTACTCAAATTATCAAAAACGAAGGCAGTAGGTCATATTTTAATATCAGCTGATTCAGTTTGTTGTCCAGTTCACAGCTCTAACTGATGGTTTATCGTTATTACTATCTATGTTATAAATACCCACAGCTCTAACTGATGGTTTATCGTTATTACTATCTATGTTATAAATACCTGCAGCTCTAATTGAAGTTAAACATTAGAGCTCTGATGTATGACAATCAACAGTTAATACAGAAGTAATATTTTTGATTCACCTCTTGTGAACTTCATGTGTTTGGTGGTAATGTCCATCTCGAAGTGACTCCACTTCCTTGAACATTGTTTGGATGTTTTCATCGATGACGTTTAGTTCAGCTTGAATTTGATCACAGTTCTGTACAGCATCCATTGAATGGAGCCGCTGGATTCTCATTTCTTCCTAAAAGACGTACAAAAATAACACTTTTAAATATACAGAGAACTAGGTTCAGAAGCTTAGATGTTTTCAAGAGCTCTTCTGTTTACTTGTGTTTGTTTGCTGATAATCAATACTGGACAAAGGGATCAAGTTCCAAATTTCAACATACAAATCTTCAAGTTTACTGCTAAGTGTTACTTTTTTGTCATTATAGTCGATAACTCAATAAGATTACTCGCAGGAATCCCTGTCAGTTGTCAAAGAACAATTATGATGTTAATTTTTATAGTGAAAAAAATATAATGCATCAAATATATTGATAAACTACCATCAACACCTACCTCTATCACTTTTTTCTCTATATCGTCAATTCTTCTATCACACTGTTTGGCTTCCCTGTGAAGCTTCTCCGCAAGTCTCTGAAGCTTTTCTAGTCTAGAAGAAAAGTGTACAACAAATATACAAAAGGTTTCTTCAAGGATTTATTGGGTAGCAGTTAGTTTATATTTGATATTTATGATATGCCACACACTTAACATAAAATAATTCTTGAACTACTAGACCTGATGAAACTGTAAGGTGAAACACTGGCTGAAGTAAAGTTGTTATCGGGAGGGTAAAGGAGATTTTCTTTCCAAATTTTATTGCCCAAATGCTTCATACACACTGACTATACAACAATCCAGAAACTGTAGGCTAAGTCTTATCAGAAAATTTTCAATGAGTGTCACTATTTGTTTTATTTTATCTCCAACCAGTAAATTATGGTGGTAATTCTATACTTACTGAATATAAACTGAATCTCTGTATCTTACCTTCCTATACATGAGTATAAAATTATGGTGGTAATTCTATACTTACTGAATATAAACTGAATCTCTGTATCCGCTCCAAATTACCTAACTATACATGAGTATAAAATTATTTAATATCTTTCAATTCGTAAAATAGCATTAAAACAAAGTTTACTCTTAATGCTACATATACATAGCATACGTTTATTTATTAATCATAATGAAAAAAAAAAACTTTCTTAAAGATCCTGACTACAAGAAACTTGTAAATTTTACCTATCAATTTTTGGACTGATGAACCTTATCTATCAATATTTGGACTAACGAACTTGTAAATCTTACCTATCAATTTTTGGACTGACAAACTTGTAAATCTTACCTATCAATTTTTGGACTGATGAACTTGTAAATCTTACCTATCAATTTTTGGACTGACAAACTTGTAAATCTTACCTATCAACTTTTGAACTGACGAACTTGTAAATCTTACCTATCAATTTTTGGACTGATGAACTTGTAAATCTTACCTATCAATTTTTGGACTGATGAACCTTACCTATCAATTTTTGGACTGACGAACTTGTAAATCTTACATATCAATTTTTGGACTGACGAACTTGTAAATCTTACCTATCAATATTTGGACTGACAAACTTGTAAGTCTTACCTATCAATTTTTGGACTGACGAACTTGTAAATTTTACCTATCAATTTTTTGACTGACGAACTCATAAATCTTACCTATCAATTTTTGGACTGTCAAACTCATAAATTTTACCTATCAATTTCTGGATTGACTTGTTTTACAATAACCTATTCTAGACAAAAACAACTGATTTGTCATCTTACATATTTTCTCACTGTTTCACGTACCTGCTAATTTCATCACGAATCGCTTGGTCCCTAGTTTGAAGAGCCAACATTAGTTGATTCCAGTTTTTTTCAATCGTGTCAAATTGAAGTTCGGTTTCTATGTCTACAGATCCGGTTTCTCTAAACGTATTCTGAAGAAATAAGGAATCAATTTAGGTACTACTAAAACATCTTGTTACTTAATGTTCAAAACACGTTTCTGATTAACAAACACCTGTGACAGATAATCCACACAATTTTACTTTTAAAATATATATATTTATAGTTTAGTACAAACAAGAAATGCCAATCAAAGTACTATAAAAAAAAAAATCTGTAAATCATTGTCGAACCTGGTTGGAACAGTTTTTAAGAACTGTTTTACTGTAAAATAAATTAGTCACTATTAATAAATATACATTTACATTATTTTTTGATGCTAAAAATCACACAGATAAGAGACTGAAAATATGATATTTAACAATTCATAGTCATAAGCAGACGTACCTGTAGTAATGTGTAGAGATGGAACAGTTTTTGTTTGTCATGAAGTTTTGGTGGGATGTCTGTAACCCTAAGTTTGTTATTCTCTACCAACAGAGCCTGCAGATTAGAATATGAAATTAGAAAAAAGAACATGTGTAGTAGAATTACCAGTACAAAACCTGTTGGATTTATTCTTACATTAAAATCAAATTAAGCTAGCAAGTTACTGCAAGTACTTGGCTTACTGAACCACTGTCTTGTTCTTTAACTAACCAGATATTCAAACTTCTTGTTAACATTTAGCGTGAAGTGAGAACAGCAGCTACTCTCTTGGTGTTAATAAAAGTTATGATTAAATCAATTACATAAAACTTTGTATGATATATTCGTCTTTAAACCAGATAATATCTATTAATTTAGAGTTTACGCCAATGAAAACTACCGCGAAAAACTTACTTTTACTTCTACCAATGTACACGGAAAAGTGTGATCCTGTAGAGCCCTTGTCATTCCTTGTATCCAAAGGTTGAGTGTACTGGCCAGTTCTTTGTACTCTTCCACCTTTCGTAGTTTCTCCTGTTGTTTAAGAAATAAGTTACTGCTACACATCCTCCAGAAAACTGGACTTTGTTTTATTTATTCACCAAGGACTACATTACACAATTTTAAAAAGAGAATTTTGCCCCAAATAATTAATGAGGGTTCCTAATGCACTACTGACAGCTGAATAGTTTTAATAAACTTCCAATTTTATTCAATTACCAAATTATATACCAAGGGCTTCTGGTTTTCTGTTTTAACTGATAAACACTGATAAAACACTCCCTAAAACACACCAGAAATAGATATTTAGGTTATTAACGTGCCCAATCAATGTGCTTACGAGACTTACTCATTTCCGTATGAACTACATATTACTTTGAAGGAAAAGAAACATTTTGTCCATTAGTGGCAAGTTGGTTTTTATATAAGTTCATATAAAATATTAGCTGCTCTTACAAAGCCTCAACATAAAGAGAAATTAGTGTGCAGAGAATATACAGTATATTAGTATATTCATTAGAATTAAAAGTGAAAACTCCAAAAAACACCAATGTTAAGGTATCTATTAGGTCGTCAAGAAATTAATGTCGCATTTTGGAACACTTTCATTAACTACCACCCCCAAAAAACGTACAAAACGTATAATAGTTAAACGAACCATCTAATGTTACGTTAGTGTAGCCTATGTAATTTGTAAAGTTTAGTATACTCTAATCCCGACGAGACACACATTTGGGATGTAATGGTGTTTGAATACAAGAAGGGAAAAAATGCCTCTGTAGCCATAAAGAATATCAAAGAAGTTTATGGAAATGTTTTATAACAATGTAATATAGAATACAAAAAGTGTTTAATTTCACACAACAATGTATTCTTATACTATCAACAATTAAATACAACAATACGTTATCATCCATAACAATGTAATATAGAATACAAAAAGTGTTTAATTTCACACAACAATGTATTCTTATACTATCAACAATTAAATACAACAATACGTTATCATCCATAACAATGTAATATAGAATACAAAAAGTGTTTAATTTCACACAACAATGTATTCTTATACTATCAACAATTAAATTTTGTATTCTATATTACATTGTTATGGATGATAACGTATTGTTGTATGTAATTGTTGATAGTAGAAGAATACATTGTTGTGTGAAATTAAACACTTTTTGTATTCTATATTACATTGTTATGGATGATAACGTATTGTTGTATGTGTTTAATTTCACACAACAATGTATTCTTCTACTATCAACAATTAAATACAACAATACGTTATCATCCATAACAATGTAATATAGAATACAAAAAGTGTTTAATTACACACAACAATGTATTCTTATACTATCAACAATTAAATACAACAATACGTCATCATCCATAACAATATAATATAGTATACAAAAAGTGTTTAATTTCACACAACAATGTATTCTTATACTTTCAAGTTTTCCTCACAACAGTATACATTCTATTTTATTTATTGTAATAGCTTTTAAGTATGGATGCCTTCTTGCCTGCACTTTCTGAATAATTGATTTATCTACAGAATATAAATTTAAGGTATATAAAAGCTTAGTAAATAGTCACATAAGTTATGTGTAAATGCTTTTGTCTCCTTAATTACAACAAAAATAAAGTCTTTAAAGATATTTCTATCTTCTAAAATTGCTTCACAAAAAATACAAAATTCTTAAGAGTGCTTGTTAAGCCTACTTAATAAATTCATGAACAACTATATCCAGAGCTGTAGCAATTACTTACACTGTCCGCAAATGGGTGGTATTCTGGAGGCTCGGAAAAGACGTCGTAGAGAGAGGATATATAGGTGATAAGAGACCTTTCATCAGGATCGGGGGTGTCAACATCTAAACAGTCATGACAAAACATGCACTTTAGTTTCATTAAAATTTTCTGTATATCAAATTGAAGATATCTCCTCACACAAAATATAAAAACTACAGACAGGGGAACTATTTAGGTAGTTGGGGAATAAAACACTATCAAATAAGCTGAAACAAAACATACATGAGAGAGGGAGAAAAACTAGGATAATATGGTTAACACTGTTCTATTTCTGTTCAATGTCAAATTAACTGTAAGAGAAAGGTAAAAATGTTGAATCCAACATCTAGATAATACCAAAAAAATATCTTCAATCCTTCACTATATTTATATGATTTTCATCTTGATCACCATGAAAACATAAATGATTCTAAAATCATTATAATTTTGTTTTATGGACTAAACTGAATATTTGTGTAAACATAAAAAATGGAATATTTACTACTGAACACAGAAAATAAAAACCTTCCAGAAGATAGATGTTCCTTCTTCCCTAGTTTCATGTCATTAACATATATCTAAGTGGATTCAGCTATCTATACTAAAACATTTTACTTCAGTGTAAAAGCTTTCTTGTTTCGTTTCCATATTTGAAAGAATATGTATTCAGGACTCTCTGGGAGAAACATGACCAGCTTTAAAACTCCCAGAGAAAAGCTTGACCAGCTTCAGGACTCCCAGAGAAAAGCTTGACCAGCTTCAGGACTCTCAAAGAAAAATATGACTAGCTTCAGGACTCTCAGAGAAAAGCTTGACCAGCTTCAGGACTCCCAGAGAAAAGTATGACTAGCTTCAGGACTCTCAAAGAAAAATATGACTAGCTTCAGGACTCTCAGAGAAAAGCTTGACCAGCTTCAGGACTCCCAGAGAAAAGTATGACTAGCTTCAGGACTCCCAGAGAAAAGTATGACTAGCTTCTTTTTTTTTTAGAACTTATACTTTACTGTTCACTACTCACTTTAATTTAAGAGAGGATAAGTTAACAAGTCTAAATAAAAACGTTATTTATTTTTATTTTGTGCACTATTTTGGTTCCAACTTGGAACAATTTAAAAAAAACTATTACTTGAAAAAAAACATTTTTTTTTTTTGGTTTGCAGTATTAAAATTAGCAAGAAAATGGATAACTTGTAGTTAGAGCAACTGAAACTGTAGTTTGGAAAATAAATGTATAAATACAGAATAATGAAATAAAATAACACAATAATCCAGGGTAAGAAGGAGAGAGAGCTTTCATCAATGTAAGGTTGAACAAAAAAAAAACAGTGAGTAAACCCGTTTCATTCACATTGTGTGGTAAAAGTCAGTCGTTAATTTAAAGTGTGAACCTACAAAACTTTCATCACATCTAAACAAAATGCTAATTATTCACGTGAGTGATTACACGTGAATCATTTATAAACAGTTGGTGGTAACTTTTTAGAATGTCAGTAAAATAAAATATTGCAAAGTAAAACAAGATTTAACTAACATTTCATCGTGTCTACAGGCTGACAGAACCTGAAAGTAGTCCTTATATTTTATAGAACAAAACCGGCATCACAAGGTTTCATTAACAACCATGGAATGTAATAAAGCTTCACTTACAGACAAGTACTTCTAGGCTAAACCAGTTTTTACTGATACCACTGGAGATCTCCACATCTCCTTTCTTTGTTCACAGTCAGAGCAGACTGTAATTTCCCCAGGCACTAAGCAGGTGACCCAAAGGTCAAGGACTTTGTTAGCAACAAATTAGAAAAATTACTAGCTTGAGGACTATAAGAGAAAAACATGACTAGCTCCAGGACTCTCAAAAAAAAGCATGATTAGCAACCAGACTCTCAGAGAAAAACATGACTAACTACAGGACTCTCAGAGAAAAACATGACTAGCTACAGGACTCTCAGAAAAAAAACATGACTAACTACAGTACTCTCACAGAAAAACATGACTAACTACAAGACTCTCACAGAAAAACATGACTGACTATAAGACTCTCAGAAAAAAACATGACTAACTACAGGACTCTCAGAGAAAAACGTGACTAACTACAGGACTCTCAGAGAAACATGACTAACTACAGGACTCTCAGAGATGAACATGACTAACTACTACAGGACTCTCAGAGATGAACATGACTAACCACTACAAGACTCTCAGAGAAAAACATGACTAACTATAAGACTCTCAAAGAAAAACATGACTAACTATAAGACTCTCAAAGAAAAACATGACTAACTACAGGACTCTCAGAGAAAAAGATGACTAACTACAGGACTCTCAGAAAAAACATGACTAACTACAGGACTCTCAGAGAAAAACATGACTAACTATATGACTCTCAGAGAAAAACATGACTAGCTACAGGACTCTCAGAGAAAAACATGACTAGCTACAGGACTCTCAGAGAAAAACATGACTAACTATATGACTCTCAGAGAAAAACATGACTAACTATACGACTCTCAGAGAAAAACATGACTAGCTTCAGGACTCTCGGAGAAAACTAGAAATTTACTTTGATGTATGTTCTTATGATGAAACTTTTGTATACATATTGGATTATAATGCTTAAATTAAATCTTAATAAATAAAATTTCATTATCGGATCTAAACTTTAGATTTTGGATAAAAAGTGCAGAAATGAGAGAATTAATGGCCATTTATCGGCATACACAAATCTGAAAAATATCGTTAGGTAAAAACAAGTGCCGAACTAACACACCTTCTGGATCAAGAAGTCTAGTGACCCCACACTCTTTCTCCAATACGGAAAATGCCAGTTCCAGATTATCACGAGGAGACTTTATTCGCAATGTCCTCCAGTCAATAAGATCAGGCCTAGAAAAAAAAAAATAACATCATTATTTAAAAATGTATGTCAAACCTTTAATGTTTCTGGCGGTATAATCATCACCCTAAATATCTTGTATTAATCTAATTTTCTAACTCTTTTTGTTTTTTCTCCTACTCTGGAAGATTATTCTTTAATCAGCAAAATAACAAGAATCTTGAATTATAAATTATGTTGCTAGATGTCTAATAAAAAAAATTGTTCCCCAATAGCAATTTCAAAAACCACTAAAAAAAATTATAATTATCTCAAAAATGAAAATTGGTGAATAAATAAAATTAGTTTTTACAATTTTATTGTTGTTTAAATTAAACAATATTAATTTATCTTAATTACAAAACACTTTAAAAACATTAAACTTCTAAATTTATGGAAACAAACCCTGCTACTTTAATTTCTATATTAAACAAGCAATAAAATTAAACTTTTTTAAACAAGACAATCTAATGTTTTTAAAAACGATGTTTACAAGATAATACACCAAAGAACAACTTATACACCCATTAATTATAGCATGGAAGGTAAGACTGTCCTTCTAACTGCTTGTAGAGTCCATAACTTTCACCCCCAAATAGTGGTCAGTAGTATACTATGTCCAGAGAAAGGTTGCTTTAATGATCATACAGAGCCATGACCTTCTACATTTATCTGTTCCTGAGAACTGAGCATTGAAGGTAAGACTGTCTCTTCCAACTGCTTGTAGAGTCTGTAACTTTGACCCTTGGTCAGTAGTATGTAGTGTCCATAAGACAGATGTCATATGAATTAGAAACCTTCAACATCTACCTGTTCCTGTAAACTGAGCACTGAAGGTAAGACTGTCTCTTCCAACTGCTTGTAGAGTCTGTAACTTTGACCCTTGGTCAGTAGTATGTAGTGTCCATAAGAGGGATGTCATATGGATTATACATGACCTTCTACACCTACCTGTTCCTGTGTATTGAGCACTGAAGGTAAGACTGTCTCTTCCAACTGCTTGTAGAGTCTGTAACTTTGACCCCTGGTCAGTAGTATGCTGCATTTAAAAGAAGGAAGTCATATTGACTAGATGTGACATTCTACACCTACCTGTTACTGTGAACTGTAACACTGATTATAAGACTGTCCCATCCAATTATTTGTAATGTCATTAACTTTGACTCATTAACAGTGGTCAATAATATACTGTGTCCAGAGTAGAAGTGTCTTACTGATTATATAAAGACATGACCTTTTACACCCACCTGTTTCTATGAAGTATGGCATTGAAGGCAAGTCCATCTTTCCAACTTTTAGTGAAGTCGGTAACTTTGACTCCTGGATATCGATCAGTAGTACGCTGTGCCCAGAGCAGGAGTGCTTCTCTGGCTGTTAACACTTTATCAGTTTGTCCAATTATATCCGATATCTAAAATATTTTATATATCGTGATAAGAAAAACTTTGTAATAACTATTTTTCTACACTGTTGAGAGCTTTTTAGTACTCTAAGCATGAAATTAGTTTTCAAGATTAAGAAAATAACAACTGGACTTCATCCATTTTGAATAGCAAACCAAATTCCTCACATATTTTCATCTGCCACATAAATATATATTATTCTAAACATTTACAATGTTATAAAAAAATTCACGAAATTATTTCATTTGTAATTTTACAGCAAAGAACTGTGACTTTAAACTGTAAGACTATTATATCCTCAAGTAAACCTTTCATGTTGAAATTAACAAAATCAGTAAGTATTTTAATAATTTATTAGTTTTCAATTCTCAGGTTTCTTAGCTTTTGATCCGAGATAATTGGAGTTATATAAATACAACATTACATAACTTCTTCCTGCTTTATATAAATACAACATTACATAACTTTGTCAGTTCTTCCTGCTTTATATAAATACAACATTACATAACTTTGTCAGTTCTTCCTGCTTTATATAAATACAACATTACATAACTTTGTCAGTTCTTCCTGCTTTATATAAATACAACAT